AGACCATAAATGCACAAGAAGTCAAAGCAAAAACAGACATATGGGATTACATAATATTAAACTTTTACAGATCAAAGGAAACACTCAACAATGTGCAGAGATGATTTACAGAATGGGAGAAAATATTTGCAATGTGTATAGCTCTCCCTAGAGAGTCTCAGCAAACTCTATCAGTGTATGGATACTGGTGATTCTGAAACTGGAAAGTTTCACCACACTCAAAGGCTTGCAGTATACTAAAGTCACCTGAAATCTGCACAGTAGTCTGGCTTTGGAAAAGGAATTCACATCACCTTCCAGCAAAACCCAAGCAGTCAACTTGAGACTGACAGCTACAGAAGTCAGAAATCCCCACACATTCCCATCTGTGGGACCCTACAGATATTCTGGCTCAGGAGGTCACTGCCTCATAAGCCAAACTTGGTTCAGTAGAGTTACTGACACCAAACAGCTGAGTGTGCTGCACTGCAAGATACCACCCTCAGAAAACGGTGGTGGAGGGGTGGCGGGGGAGGCGTCAGGGAGCCTGCCCTGTGAAACCAGGCATGTGAGCAGTTACATGTGGATTTGTGCTGGTACCAGGCCTGAAGTCAGCCATCCATGTGGCTCCCGCTACTCCTCTCTCTAGGGTTTCTCTGGAGCGCCTATTACTAACAAGATGGGAAAAGATCTTTGGTTCCACTGTTCCCTTGGCCCACAGGGGCATGCTGGGATGATCTTGAGCAATGTTATAGCTCCAGCAGTTAACCCATCTGACTCCAAGTTGCACTGCCCAGTTGCCACTAAGTAGGAAAAGAACTCTGTGCTAGGGTAGTCCTTAGCAATGTCAGGGCTCTGGCTGTGGCTCATACCCAGGTAGCACAGAGAAACCTTTCTGTTAATGGCCTCATTCCACCTTCTTTCTCTCCTATGGGCACTACAGCTGAGAGGAATTTTGTCCCTGACCCATTCCTGCTGGATCTCTAGTGGGCAGTACACATAGCTGTGCTGAGTGGAAACCCTGTCCCCATGCATGCATGGCTAGGAGAGGTCTTGAGGTCCTCTGCCTAGGCAGAACACTCACAGTAGCACCAGAGAACGTCACAACTCTTGTTGCCACCATACCTATGTGGGTTTCTACCACAAGTCACCTTGCACCTTATTTGATCACACACTGCTAACAGGACTGAGTGTGCACACCACTAAAGGGCTGCTGTAATTCCTGCTCTCACCTCTCCCAGTAAAGCACCTAGGCCCATACCACTGTTTTGTCATAAGATAGGCGCTTCAGGCCCCTCAACACTACTGGAGCACACTATGCCAGAGACTCCTAAAAGTAAATCAGTATCAACAGTGCCTAAGAAAACCCCCAACCATTGCCTGACAGAGGCCACAACTCCATTGTAGGAGTAGCCAAACAGAGTCCACTAAATACAAGTGCGTCTACATCACACCTATCTAAAGTGCTGGTGTCCTCATCTTGAGAGACCTGCAGAATAAAGTGGGTTTCATCAACCCTTACAAGTATGTACTGTGCCTAACTCATTAATTATAGCCAAAGAAGCTATAGGAAGATCAATATAGTGCAGAGCTGGAAATAAAGTTAACACTAACAAACTGATATCCCCAAACTATCTTCAGGAGAAAGCTGCATATTTATTACTAAGGAGGCTATCTGATAAAAGTGGTAGAGCTATCCCATTCAACACATGTACAAATCTCAACAGGGGAACATAATAAAGGAAAACAAAATAATGATCATTAACTATAAGAGATTCCAAAAGTATCAAAACGGATAAACTGCCTGATAAGGAATTCAAAAGAATGATTTAAAAAAAAAAAAGCCTCAATGAAACCCAAGAGAATGTAGCAGACAATCACTTAAATGAAATTAGGGAGACAAGGAGGATATAAATGTGAAATATATCAAAAGGATATTTTGAAAATACAAATCTTGGAAATGAAAAGCTCAGTAAGTCCAATTCAGATGAAAGCTTCGATACCAGACTAGATCAAGTATCCAAAGAATATTGGAATTTAAAGACAGGTCTTTTGAAATATCACATTCAGCATAAAAATAAAACATAGATTTACACCCAGATAGACAGATAGACAGACAGACAGACAGAATGAAGGGAGCATTTAGGATTTTTCGAACACTATCAAACAATCTAATATCTGTATCACTGGCATACCCAAAAGGAAAAGAAGTTAGTTAAGGGCACAGAACACCTGTAGCAGGGAATTTCAGTGCTCTACTGTCATCAACAAATAGATCATCTAAATCAAAGAATCAACAAAGAATAAGAGTTACACTACACTATGGTCCAAATGGACTTAAAAGACATTTATGGGACATTCCATCCATCAACTAGAGAATACACATTCTTTTCATTAGTGAACAGAACTTTCTCTAGAAAAGTTCATGTATTAGGCCGTAAGTCACATCTTAACAAATTCAAATGAATTGAAATCATCTCCTATATTTTTTCTGATCTCAATGGAATGAAACTAGAATCAATGAGAAACTTTAGAAATTATATAAATACAAGGAGACAGTATTTTCAGTGAATAATGGGTCATTGACAAAATCAGAGGGAAATTTAAAAATTCCTTGAAACTAAAGAAAATGGAAACACAAAATATCAAAACCTGTGGGATACAGAAAACGTAGTACTAAGAGGGAAGTATGTAACAATGAGTGCCCACATCAAAAATATAGAAAGATTTCAAATAAACAACCTAACGATGTTTGTAATCTCAAGGTCTAAGAAGAGAAAAAAATAAACCTGAAATTAGAAGCAAATAATAAAGCTAGAGCAAAAATAAGTAAAATAAAATGTAAAAGAACAATACAAAAAACTAATGGAGAAAGAATTGGCTCCTTGAAAAGATAAAAATGACAAAACCTTAGCTACACTTAGAGGGAATGAGAGACTGGGGTGGGTGGGGAGAGAGGGGGGAGGGAAGGAGAAAGGGAGAGAGAAAGAGAGACAGAGAGAACATCCAAATAAATTCTAAAGATCACTAGATATTATTTTGGAAAACCTAATACCTACAAATTGGAACATCTAGAAGAAATACACAAATTTCTGGACACATATGACCTACAAAAATTGAACCAAGAGGACATAAAAAATGTGAATACACTAGTAACAGGTACTGAAATTGGATCAGTAATAAAATGTCTCCAACAGAAAAGCCCAGGACTGAATGGCTTCACTGTTAAATTTTACCAAACTTTTAAAGAAGAGCTAATACCAATGCTTCTCAAACTGGAAGTATTGGTATTTTTGGAAGGGCACCGTTCCAAAATCATTCTATGATGCCAACATTACCTCGTTACCAAAACTTGACAAGGAAACAACGAAAAGAACTACAGACCAATTGCCCTGATAAAAACAGAAAAAAAATTCTTAATAAAATAATTGAAAACTGAATTTAAGTTTATCAAAACGATCACACACATGATCAAGCTGGTTTTATTACAAGGATTAAGACTGGTAATGACATATGCAAATCAAAAAATGTAATGCATCACAGAAATAAAAGGATAAAAATCATATGGACATTTCAATAATGCAAAAAAAGTATTTGGTGGGCTAGTGGGGTGGCTCAAGTAGGAGCATCTGCCTAGCAAGCATGAGGCCCTGAATTCAAATCCCAGCACTACAAAAAATAAACTAATTAAGAAAAAGTATTTGGTAAAACTCAACATTTTCTCCATAAATGCACTGAACTAACTACAAATAGATGGGTCCCATCTTAGCCTAGTAACAACTATAAATGACAAACCCACAGTCAACATCATATTGGATGTAGAAAAATGGAAAACATTTCCTCAAAGATTAGGAACAAGACAGGAGTGTCTTATACAATATAGTACTAAATTTCAGTCAGAGCAACTAAACTTCAGAAGAAATAAAGGGCATACAAATAGGAAAGAAGGGAAGTCAAATTATCATGGTATGTAGATAATATGACTCAATATATAGAAAACGTGTATCAGTAGCTCTTCTATACATGAAAAATGAATTTGCTGAGGAGTCATGAAATCCTATTCACAATAACCACACAAAAAATAAAATACCTAGGAATAAAAAAGTTAAGGAAATGAAAGTCCTGTACAATAAAAACAAAAAAGCACTAACAAAAGAAACTTAAGACAGGAAAAAATGAAGACATCCCATGTCCACAGACCAGAAGAATTAATATTGCTAAAATGGCCATACAACACAAAACAATCTATAGGTTCAATGCAATACCTATCAAAATACCAATGACAGTCTTCACAGAACTAGAAAGAACAATCCTAAAATTCATATAGAGCACAAGTGGGAGAAAGGAGGATGGATATAGTCAATACACACTGTATGCATGTACAGAAATCACAGTGAATCTCATTAATATGTACAATTAAAATATGTTAAAAAAAATACAATAAGCCAGGTGCAGTGGTTCACACCTGGAATCCGAGCTACAACAGGTAGAGATTGGAAAGATTATGGTTTGAAGCCAGCCTTCCTGACCAATAAAAGCTGGGCATGTTGGCAAATGCCTGTCATCCCAGCTACACAGGAAGCATAAACAGGGACTGCAGTACTGACGCATTTACACATACACACAATACCCTATGTGAAAGATAACTAAAGTAAAAAGGGCTGGGGGTGTGGTTCAAGTGGTAGAGCTCCGACCTACTAAGCACAAAGTCCTGAATTCAAACCCCAGTATTACCAAAAAATTAAAAACAAGGCCAGGCCAATGGCTCACCCCTACAATCCTAGTTACTTGGGAGGCTGAGACTGGGAGGATGGCAGTTTGAGGCCAGTCAGGGCAAACAGTTTGTAAGACTCATAACTCTAAAACATAACCATTCCATACATGCATACAATGTATTTATAGCTATTTATAAATTATCTTCTTTATTTACCCATAATATTTGATTACCAAGGAATATGTAGTCTTAAAATTTTCCAAATACATAATTATGTAAAGAAAGCTAAGAAAAGTGATATACATACCATAAGTTTTTGCCCTGGTTCAGGGCAGAAAATAACAAAATCTGCTTCAATGTTAAGATGAATGTGTCCTTGATCATCATAAATATCTCCCAGTTCACCCACAACTTTGATGTTGTCATATGCAATTGGGACACCTAAAAGGCTGTTTAAAAAAAAAATCTTTCATTGTCTTGTAAATAATAATACTGATTAGATATTGTAAGAGTCCAAAAAGTGTATCACCCATGGTGAAAACAGAACAGCATATACCAAGTCTTATGAACTAGGATAAGTAACTCCAGAAGTTTCAATTCACAAAAAGGTTCTATTGCGTTGGCTATGTTAAATGATTATTCAAGATATTGTCTCAGAAACCAAATGTCCAATTATGCACCAGCAACAAACTGGCTCTTCCTCCTTATGTGTTACCTATTTGAATCACAGTCATGCTAGAAGGAAAAATAATGGGTGTTGGCAAGGAAATGTCAATCTCTGTATGACATATGTAATTCTGACATTATCCACCATTACTGAATTCTGCATTGATAGCATGTGGACAGTGAATGTGTTGTAGCAAGGGAAACACTAGGGTTAAAGCTGAAGCCCCTGGATATTAAAAAATCAATACAGAGAATATAGAAAAAGCCTGAACAGCAACTGTTGCTACTAAATGGAAATGTTAAGAAATACAACTATATCATTTGAGAACTCACTTTAGTCTACAAGTTTCAGTATCAGAATTAGCAAGCATTATTTCAAAATGTCAACTATTAACTAAAAAAGAAAAGGACCTCATAGCTTTACCATCATACTCATCATACTACTTGCTGGGGAAAACTTCCCTGCCTCCCAAGGAAAAGGTAAAATCACCCTCAACTGCATGTAAAAATTTATCACTGCTCTTAATCTAATTTTATTGAATCTGTATATATGTTTTGATTCCATGCACAATTCTAAGGCCACCGACAGAAAATATTTTTGTGTTGTACTCCATTAAATTTCTAGCATGATTCACAGAGTAAGAGGAGGAAATTTATCCCTAATACATTTTATTTTAGTAAAATAGCCAAAACCACAGGGAAGGAACTGAAATAATTACCACATGACAAAAATTGTAAACTAGGAAAGTACTCTTTTGAGGTCTTTCTGTATGTGGTTTTCCTAAGCAGGAATCATCACTAAGACAACCCTAGAGACACTGAAAGTATAAAGGAGAGGAGAGATTAAAAAGTAACTGCCAAAACTGACCAAAAAACCCATTAAGACCTTGTTTACTGTAACCAAAGTCTTCTTTCTATTATTGGAGAGTGATTCTCAAGTGAAGAAAGCATTGCTGGATCCTTAAGAGGCACTTGGGAATTTGTAGCACTACTCATGTTTGTCACAAATAATGTCAAAGCAGGGAAGAAAGAAATTCACAAAAGTTATCCTTCTGAATAAGGGGACAAACCTGTTTATAAATAGCTGGACACAGAATCTAACTTTTTAAAAAATAAACATATCAACATAGTCATCCCCAAAATGTTCAATGTTTTGTCCTCATTAGAGCATTCCTAATCTCACCGGATAAACAGGCTGTTGTAGATCTCACAAGTGAGAAGGAAGAGAGGTGTCCAAATCTTTCAGAGTACAGCCTGCTCTATACAGCCACTGTCTAATTCTGCTACAGAAATGATCATTTGATCAGTCTGAATATGGCCCCTCCTAGACAACTGTGAGTGACTAGCTCCCAGCCTGTCAAGTGAGGAAATAACTGGTTATAGAGAGTAGTAACATAGCTGCCCATATTTCCATATTTTATGGCCACCTTGTATATGCTTAAGTCTCAAATCTATCCTCTAATAATTATTAGTAGACAATTATAACAATTTATTAATTATACCTTTGTCTCATCTTATTTAAAATATCATATAGTTCTAAACCATTCCTTAAACTGCAAACCTGGCTTTGTCCAAGGGATTAGATATGTACTGCTGTTCTCAAGAGTGTGCCATGTCTCAGAATTGTAGGATAAGAGGGTGATGCACTAACTGTGCCTAACAAAGAAAAGAAACTATTAAAGGTAGAAAGAGCGGAACATAAGGGCCATCCTTAGTCATTTCCTACCCAACTCTGACACTCTGCTTTCCAATCCAACGGTACTCAATGCCTTACCCCTGACATAAACCTTACTCCAGTCTATAGTACTTACAGGTCTCTAAAAAGCGGACTAGTTCACATCTACTGCCCATTTGTTTATGCCACTCTCTTTGCCTGGAATGCTGCTATCTTCAAGTACCCTCCTATCCAGCTCTTTTCAAAGGTTACAAGCTCCACTTCACCACCCTTTCTCTTACTGTGAAATTTTAACACCTCACTGGGTTTATTTGGCTTACAATTATATCTCCACTAAAGCTTAAAGCTCCTTGAAACGAGCATCTTTATGTATTTATAGCCCAAGTCCCTAGTATATAATACAGACATAAAAGTCCGTGTTGGTACTTACAGGAAGCATATTCTAGACAACATGCTTGATTTTTTCCAACACTAAGGATTGAACCCAGAGCTCCAGGCGTGCTACGCAAATGCTCTACCACTGAGCCTAGCTCCCATCAGGACCCTGATTGTTGGTAAGGGATGTCCGAGATTTTTGAGGAAGTAAGGGGTCACAGCTTGGGACAATTTGCCCTACGAAATTCACACAGGAAATTCTTACAATTTCTGAAGCTCATGAAATTACTGGATCCTTGGGGAATCCTTTCACCTCTTTTAGAACTCCTCTTTTGCATCAAAGTATTTTAGAGCTATTAAGACACATCTCTTCCCTTTCTAATTCTGAGTTTTCAGTTACTTTTGAGCATTTTAATTTAAATACACCAGGTTTTTAATCTTCCCCAAACAACAGGCTTACCAGTAACACTGAATAAATTTTCTGTTCCTAAAAACAAAACATAGCAAATGGTATTTCCCTCATGCCCGATAAGATCCAAAAGAGAAGCCGGGAAATTACCAGGGCCAAAACAAGTAACAAAAGAGACCCATGTTTTACAACGAAACGGTTTACAAATGTTTACGTGCAATCGCCTATGGAAGGAGAGGATGTACTTGAGTAGTGAATGCCAAATTTTCATTGTCAAATGAGAAAACATCCAAAAGGAGCTAAATGAAAGGCTTACTGCCCAAGCAAAACCCCGCTTACTGGGTGGGTCTCGGAACCAGGTCTGCACACCTGGAGCAATCTTGGGCGATCTCGACCCGGGCAGTACTGGCCTTGCTGCGCCGGATGACTAGAACACCGGGGGGCTGAGCTCCCGGTGATCAGCACGACTTCTTCCCATGCTCCCCTTTCCTGCTACGCTTTTAGGATGTACATCCGCTGCCCCCTCCCGTGCCCAAAAGAAGGAGTACGGGCTTCGTTCTGGCGTTGCCCACTCGGATAGAGAAAGGCACAGAGGCTGGTACCTCTCGGAATAGCGCAGGAGCTCGGCATCTAGCTGCTCTCGAATACCCGTGCGTTTCCGGTTAAGGTAGCGGGGCGATAGGGCAATGTGCCTTCGGTGCGGCCCAGCCACAAGGCAGGAGTAGCGGCTATTCACCAGCGCACAAGCAGCAGCATAAGTCGGAAGCTCCAGGCAAGGCAGGACACCGGCAGGTCCTACCACCGGCCCCTCAGAGGCAGCCTTTGGCTGCGGCGACTCCGACCAACCAGCAGCCATGCGGCTTGTTAGATTTTCCTTGGCGCACACCACTGACGCAAGCATAAGTGCCTGGCATCTGACGCCGAATTTCTACGTCATCCACTGGCTGCCCCGCCCCTAGGAATTTTAACTCCATTCTTTGCATTTTGCAGATCTGACCAGTAGGGGGCAACTGCTTTTTAGCTCTCGGAGGACCAAGTGCAGAGCTAGTGGTGCCTACTAAGCATGCGCCAAATCCGATCAGCTGCTTTTACTTTCTTTTCGCGCTGGTAAAACGTGTATCTTCACATACGTCCTCCTTGGATTTAGTAAGCGGATTAATGCGGGTGCCCACTTTGATCATTTCCAGTAGCAACATGGTCTGGTAGCATTTGGACTGTACAATAATGAAACAAATATTTATGGAGTATGTTTTATGCAGTGAACCCAATCCTGTGTGGCAGCCCACATGCCTCAAATGCAACATCTGAACACCTGTCCACCATTTCTCCCCACTCTGGCTTTTTTTCTCATTTAGAAAAGCTAAATTAGGGAGACGTACCACTGCTTTCCAAATGGCTCAGCCCAGCTGTCATCCTTAGGGCTTTTTCTTAAACATCAAAGTAGTCCAAAGGCCTGTGGAAATATAGCTCCATTTGGACACCTGTCCTGGTTACCAAAACTACAAGAGTCCTTTCCTGCCTCCGGAAGGCCAGCTTAATGGTCAGGAGGACACTCTGAAGCAACCTGATCTCTGAAACACAAATATGATCATGCTGTGCCCTGTTTAAGCACCCCATTTCCCCCAGGATTATCCAAATTTCTTAATATGGTTAATAAGTTGCCATTTTATGATCTACCCCTATAGCTACTTTCTTCAACATTTATCACACTCCCCTATTTTGGCATTATCTGCTACTCTCTGCCCATATTCACTGATCCACTTTCAGTGAAAGCTGGCACATCTCTCTCTCTCTCTCTCTCTCTCTCTCCCTTCCCTCCCTCTCCTCTTGTGCTGTTCTACTAGGGAATAAGGTACTTTCTCTCAAAAGGGTAAAATCTATTCCTGTCAGCTTTTAGTTTAAATTTCACATTATCTTCTTCAGAGATTACTACCTTACTACCCCTGTTTCCCTGTAAGGATTGAGTAGTTCCCCATCTATATTTGTCACCACCATCACGCACTTGTTTTATGTCAATTTTCTGTTAATTGGCTACTTGCTTGCCTGTTCTTCACTAGACTCCAATCTTACTAGGAGGAAGATCATGATAATCTGTTTTGTTAACTACTGCAGCCCCATAGATTCAATCTCCTCCTCCCAAAAGCAAACCTTGCACCCTAAATGAATGCATGGATATTGTATGAATGAATAAAAGAAATCAGGAGTGATAGAAGGGTTCACATGGGAGTGGCCGTGGGGTCTAAACATAAACATTTAGCCAAAGTGATTCTGAATAAGTATCAAGAGAAATGTATAGCAAGGAGTAGTGTGAATCCACCCCCTCCAAGTACTGCAGAAACCTCTTCAAACCTCTTTTCTTATTTGTAATGTAGGGATACTAATACCCTGCCCTCTTTTCAAAAGATAAGAGATTCAAATAAGATTGACGCAAAGCATTTTCTTTTGTATTCTTTAACTGATGGGAAATTCAGCACAAGACATAAATGGAAGGAACTGATATAAAAATCTAGTGGCAGACATTTTAAGTACATAAATGGGAAACATAGTAACTTTTACCTTTTATTACAAAGTCCTATAATATTCCTTTGCAGGACTCCTGTGTTTAGTGTTCTCATCCTTAGCAGAACTTTGACCTCAACTGAGGAGCTTAAAAAACCCCTAATGCTGAGAAAACATTCCAGACCATTAGTTCAAACTTCTCCAGGTAGCTGATAACACCTCACAGTGAAGATGGATCTACATTTGGCTGCACGTGACTTGAATGAAAACAATTTGTCCAAAAACCAACTTAGTAAAACACCAAACTAGGTACTTCAGCTACAACAAAAATAAAAACTTATCTGAAGTCAGTAAATGAATTTGAACAAATATTAAATATGATGTACCATTGTGATGGTTAATCTTAATTGTTGACTTGATAGAATGGTGTAAAGTACACCTTTGGGTATGTTTGTAAACATTTCCAGAGTTGATTAGATCGTGAAGTCTCTGACCTAATCAATGGTTTAATCCATGGATGGATTCAAAATTCAAATAGACTATTGAAAGGTGGTGGAACTATGGAAGGTAGGGCCTAGTTAAAGGAAGTAGATCAATGAGGGCATGCCTTTGAAAGTAATTTTGCCCCTGGTGCCTTCCTATTACTCCCTCTTTGCTTCCTGGCCACCATGAGATAAGCAGTTTTGCTCTTCATGTCCTTCAGCCATGATATTCTCCCTCACCATGCCCAGTAATAGCAGAGCCAGTAGACCATGAATCAAAACCTCTGAAGCCATGAGCCAAATTCATTCCATAAGTTGTATGTTATCACAGTGACAAAAAGTCTAACTAATATGACCATGAAGTAGTTTGGTAACTCAATGTGTCCATAAGCATAGATGTTTGCTTGTTTAATTTGAAAAAATCTGAAATTATTAGAGTTGAGTTTTATAAAGAAATGGAATTAGATGGGATTTTAAAAACTCTACATAACAGTTTCCATATGAGGATTTTGTATAAAGGGTATTCCAAATAAAAAATGCTACTGTTTTAGTTGGCTTATGTGGCATAACAAACTATTCCCAGATTTAGTGGCTTATATAATAGCCATTGATTAAACTTATAGATTAGTGGGTACAAAAAATATATGACCTCTTGCCTAGACTCTGCAATTTTATATGATGTCAATCCAATATAGAAGGCTTCTGGTATCATATGCTTTGTCCCTTGCCTAAGTGAGTCTCAGATATTGCTTTTGCCAAACACTAGGTGTGCATTAGAAGTTCCTAAATATGTCCCCACAACCATAGATGGAAAGCAATACTGTTTGAAAAGGTTTTGTCACCCATATTTTGATAATTTTATCTAATTACTGGAGTGAGTGATGATTGTTACAATGGTCAACTTTTCATAACAGTGATAAAATACCTGAGACAATTAACTTTCAAAGAGGAAAGATTTATTTAGGTCATAGTTTTAAAAGTTTCAGTCCATTGTCATTGACTCTTTGTTTTGGGGTTTGAAGCAGAGCAAAACATCAGGAAAGGAAGTGCAGGTAGGAGCAAAGTTGCTCACTTGGGAAGCAGGTGGACTGAGGTTTAATACTGCTCAAAGGTACATCCCTGCTGATCAGTGACCTAACTTCCTTCTACTAGGCTCTTCCTGCTAAAGGTCAGCCAGATCCTAATAGCATCACAAACTGGCAACCAAGCCAGTTCCCCTGGCCCTAGGGGAACACTTAAAAAAGAAACCATAACAAACATCAATATCATAAAGACCACCATTATCATCACCATCATGGTTAAATTTATTACAAACCTACTAGGCACTGTGCTGTGTGCCTGTGTAAGTCATCAAGCCAGAATATTTATGAGTTTATCACAATTATTACATATACTAATAGAGTGGGAGATTAGATCTAGGAAATACTAAACTGTCAGCCCAACAATGGAGGCAATTCTATCACATGCCCACGTCCTCTCATGTATTTCTTGAATGAAGGAATAAATGGCTCTTCCATGGACACACAGCTATTAATCGATCAAAGACTCTAACCAAGGCATGACTTATTCCACAACTTGTGCTTTGAATCACTAAAGATTCTCACTTTTCCTGTATATATGATCAAATCTGATAAACGAAAAAAATGTGACAGGAAAATAGATGGCTAAGTTTTAGACTCTGTTTTATAATGTTAGTGTGCAAATCAGATTAAACTAGTAAATATTAGCATTTTAACAAGCTTGGGAAGGTATCAACCCAGCACTGGTTTTAGTCAAAGCATAAGTGCTGGTGGTCTTGCAGAAAACAACACAGGCAACATGACTTGTAGGAGCCATATTAGAATTAGGTCATGCCCATGCAAATTCCGTTCAAGGTATCATCTGGACAACTTGTTTACTGTTTTCACACTTCAACTTCCTAATCTTTAGTTTAGAGGTATGATGCGGTGAAGTAGTGGGGATTTAACAAGACAATGACAGTGTAGTGACAGTGCCTGCCCCATATTAAATGCTCAATAATATGTTTCTTTGATATGATATGCTTGATGAAGCATGATTAAGTCTGTGAAGTTGAACTTGACCAGGAGCATATAACCTTCTTGAACAATAAGATAGAACCAGATCATAAGGTTAATATGTATGTAAGAGTATGAATAAAAACTGGAATAGGCTTTGGTTTCTGTTCTCTGGAATTTTTTTGCTTTAATGCTCTTGCTTGATTAATTTCAGATCCCTCTCACTGTATTGTAATTTTAAATGAAGGATATACATGAACATTTGATTCAGCTTAAAACAACCATTTTGGCATGCTATCCCCTTAAAATATTTATTTATAAAGTTCACACTAGATATGCTTATGTATATATTCTGAGGTACAAATTTATGATATCATTGTCAGTAGGAAGAATTAAAATAATTTCAATACCAATTAGTTACTTGAAATAAATGTGATTAGTTAAAGGAATAGTTTTCTTTGAGTATGTCAATGAATTTTGAAAAAAAAGTTCATTAGGGAAAATACATGTTTAAAATTTGCTTAATGGATTTTGGAAATAAAGAAACAATGACAATGTCTGAACACAATATACATCAACAAACTCTCAGTGGGTGCAGACCTAAGACTTGTAATTCAAAAATACATCAGCAGATGGCAAGCATAAGCTTCAAATTTGTAGTGTTTTGCTTTAGCCTAATGTACCATAGAAATGGCAAAAATCATGGCACTTATTTATTGATAGCTTGTTTTATATATAATTTTTCAAAAAGCAATTTAGGAACAATTTTCAACTCTGAAAGCTCTACCTACTTCTTTGGTAGATTGCTGACGCTAATTGATGTATGCTGTGCCTATAGACAATGAGGGAAAAAGTAACCACTCAACATTATTTTATATTTTATTA